CCCCCACCTTTCTTAGGCAAAATTTCTTCCAGATATCTATATTCCATTCTAGAAAGTAGTTTGGGAGATTACATTTCTATCAACAGCAATCAAACTTATGTCCAAAAGTTTAATTAAAGAGCAATGTATTTGCTAGAATGTACACTATACACGTTGATCCTGTAGCAAATGCTCAACTTGAGTAAAGCTAGAAAGGTGAGTAATGTAAATCTTGTTGGAAAGCGGTTGTTAGGTTTAATTTGCTGTCATTCTTCTCTATCTCCTGCCTCCAAAAAAGCAACAGAATGAAGTAATTATTCCATTTTTTTGTATGGTCTTTTGTAAGCAGAATCCAAGAAGTGGCTGAGCCTAGAAGGAATTAAGGACTTAAAAGCATACATTTAGCTGTATATTCACAGTAAACAATGGTACTTTGTACTCAAATCTCTTGATGAACATGCTGAGAGTTGGCAGGCAATTTAAATCTTGAGCAGCTATGCTGGCTTAAATAAAATTGCACCAGGTTTACACCAAGTTTCATTCCATCCTGAAATGATGGAATGCAGGTAGTTTTATACAGCTCCAAGCAAAACAGGTCCTTCTGAAGCAAATTTGAATTTCGCTGTTGCTTCTAAGGAGATACCTAAATTTTTCAGCGCATGCATGTTTTTTTCTACTTACTAGTGCTCCACTGCTGAGGAGAATCATGAAGACAATGAAAGTCTCAAACCAGTTGTGCTCAACTATACTGTAGCAGGTTTTTCTAAGATTCCACCAAATTTTTCCTTTGCCATCCTCTATACTTACTTGACAACATGGAAATTTCTGCACACAACCTGCATTAGATTAAGAGATATTAGGATCCAAAAGCAAATTATTTCAAAGTCATTATTTACTGTGGTATCAACACTGTTAGAAGCTTTAACAAATTTTATAGTATTTTTTAAAAATAAATACTGGAATCCTCTTTTATAGGATCCTGAATATATAAATTTAGATAAATAATTTGGAGAGAAACCAGACAATACTAGTCATAATTATGAGTAAACTCAATCCAAAAAACATTTATATTTTTGACTGTTGGTGTGTAACTGTTCCATTTGTAGATAGAGTGTCACAAAAAATTGTTCAAATTACAAGGGCCCTGAAATATGACTGAAATAACTGAAAAGCATTTTAAGAATAGAAAAGTTAATGAAGTTTCTTAGTTACAAGATGTATGCAGTGGCCAGGCAGATGAAGTTACTCAAAGACTAGGGAAACCTTGTTTTGACATCTGATTTCCAGCATTCTAGGCTAAAAATATTTTCTTTCGATTGTTGAAGTCATGAAGGTCCACAAGGTTTGAAAGTCTAAAGAACTTAAGTATGCCTAATAATAATGCCATTTTACTAATACATCTGTTAAGTCAAGAGTTATTCTACAACCTTCTGTAAAACAGGCTTCTGGTTCAAGAGCTTCTTCACTTTCAATTTCTGCTTGTTCGCCCTCTCCAGGAGGGGCAATATCAACAGTGCTGCCTTCTGATGAACTGGATGCATTTAGTTTCTGCAAGTAAAGTTCCACAGAACAATTTTTTCTCATTAGATACATATTCTGTAAAAAATGATACTGAATCAAATCATGCCAGTCTCTGACTTTTGAAGAATGCTAAATGTATACTAATATATTTGTATCACCATAAGTAAAAACACAGTAATGACATGTACATTGTAAAGTTTGGTTTCCCAGTTTATCTTGTCATAGGGAACAATTAAATATAGTTTGGTTACTAACCTGATCCATGTATAAGACATCTGAAGTATTCTTATTAGTATTAAAACTGGAGAGCTTGCACGTACCACACTCTTGAGTTATTTCATTTTCTTTACTATACTGGATTACACTGAAAATGTATCTTAATTTACCCAGTAAAACGAACTAACCAAAAGCTCCTACATATATCTTCATGTCCACTACAGATGGTGTTTTCACAAACATACACCGTATCTGGATTAAAAACTTGTATATTTAATGGCATTTAAGGGCAAATTTCTGCACAATTTAATTTTTGCAGAAAGCACAAATTAACAGATCCAAAATATCTTCTTTGCATTCCAGTCTCCTGTGCCTAATTGAGAGAACTCTTGAGGTCCCTTCCATCCCAGATTTTTCTGTCATTCTACTATTGTGTACAGTGAAATACTATAGTCCTTACTACGGTAAAAACACTTCTAGATCTGAAAACTGCAAGAACTGGAGACTCATATAAAGCAACTGAAATAAGTAACTTTTTACCAAGCACATTGAAATTTGGATCAGATCAAGCTTTTTATCAGTCATGCATGACTGCCCATAATTTTGTCCTTTTAAGAAAGCATATTTTAAAGGACAAACCTGCTAAAGATGCACACAACTAGCGCAATAATTGGACATAGAGTTTGTAACTTGTTTTCACTTTTCAATACTGTTTGCGTCTTCAAGTGCTTTCATCGAAGATATATTCTTTTACTGTGAAATAAGGCTTGTAATCAGAAAGCAACATTAAAAAAATCATGACTGTGAAATATATCTGGTTTATACCAGGTAGCAGTAATACATAGGAATTTTGAGGGGAATCTGTAATGCATCTCTAACTTTAAATTGTACAGGCACTGATGTAACAAAAGGGCATTTGCTCACAGACTAGGTTTGTGGTTTCAGCTAAGCAGATCTCATCATGCCCTTTGACCTATATGAAGACCTTTTTATACAATTTTTTTGAGAGAATGCTTAATACCAAGTACTTTTCACATTTAGTTTTCAAGATAGTGACATTTTTAGAATATAAAAAAATTCTATTCAGATGATTTGAAAGATTTTGCAATAAATAATAAACAATAACTTTTTAAAGAGGTATTTCCATGTATTCTCTCCTTCAGAGACAATGCTGAAAATTAAAACTAGTTATTTAACTCTTCAGTTAAAATCCAGTCCCTTCAGGAAAATGCATTGGGAACTAAGGGCTTTTTTTCTGCCAGGAATGAAGTAAATGGCACATATATCTTTATCTAGTTTGGTAAGCAATTCTTACGTGAGATGAACAAAGTTTAAAAAAAAAATTCATGTTTGGTGATGGATAATTTCAGGGTTAAGTTTCAAGAAGCTGCTGTTCACACACATGTGCAAATGTAGTCAATATAGTGTTGCTCAGACCTTAGGCTGCATGGCTGTTACTGCATTGTGACCAAAAATAGAGGATGTGTCACATAATAGAGAAGATTTCTGACAAGCACTGAGGTATGAGTTTTAAAACCACTGTTTCCCTTTTTAAATATTATGATCTGTCATACATGGAAAATCACACTGACAAACGTGAAAAGATTTGTATAAATACATTAAGAATCAGATTTTTCCAATGGTTAATTTTTGCTTAGTAAACACAATAAAGTATCATGTTTGCTTTTTCATACTGTTCTTCTTCTGTGATTTCCAAAAATTATGCATGTAAAATACTTATGGCTGTATTGCCTCTAAATGGAATCATTTTATTACTGGTCATGTAGATCAGTAAGTCTGAAGTAAAATATTGTGTACCTCATATAATGAGAATATTTAAAACTTTGCTTTCTGTATTACATTTACAGATCAAAAGGCACATTAATGTACTCTATGTTAAGCATTATTAGCACACCACCTTACTGTCCACACATAAGACTCTCTTTTAAAAAGGAAAATCATTGTAATACAAAGAACTAAGAAGTCTGAAATGTGTCACTGAAATTATAGGCAGTTTCTTCATGAAATAAAAAACAAATATTGTGAAAATAATAATCTGTCACATTCAAGTTAGGAAAATTAAAACTAATTCATGGCCTGATCCATCATCATTAAATCAATTACTTAATAGTAACAAGACAAAGGTTCATAGTAAGCATCAATTATTAATCTATATGAGTGTCAATTAAAAGGCAGTCAATTTTTTAACTGCTGCTTCCCATGTAAACTCTGTTGCAGGTAGTCCTGTCAGCATAGTTGCTAAAAAGCAAGTGACAGGAGTCGAATTTATAATCGGTACAAACAAAACCTACTATAATTCTCTTCATTATTTTTCATATAAATCACTCTCTTCATTATTTTTCCAATAATCTCAAACAATTGCATTACAAAAAAAACCCCAACTCATTAAGTTAATAAAACTCCTCTTCTTTGCTTCAAGACCCTAAATTAGGAAAGAATCATTGCATTTTAAATAAGGCAACTTTAATGATCTTTCTTTTTCTAGCAATAAAACTAATAAAACTAATAGGAAACTCAAGATACATGATGGATTAACACAATCTTCTTTTCACCTCATAAATGTGATTATCAGCCTCTAGAACACGCCATGCCCTGTAAATACTTATTTGCATCTACAATGATATCACATTTTCCTTTACAAGGATACATTTGAAAGCAATTGCTTATGATGCAGCATTCTCAAGGCCTGAATCAGCAAAACAACATGCTTGACTAGAGCAGAAGCCTGAGCAATACTGTGGAAATCACACACACAAATAAAGTAAAAAATAAGACTACTTCAATTAGATTATATTTTTCTGACAATAGTATTATAAATATTATTGTATAGAATATAAAATAAAAAAAAATGCTTCATCACCAACCCAAATACTTGGGTAATATATGTACAATCAGCCTCCATACTGTCCTTTCAGAGCAGTGCATCTCTTTTCAACAGCTTAGATCATTAAAACAAGCTTTGACCAACAGCATGTTAATGTGCCCATTTACAAGAAAATGCATTCACTTAAGACCTGGTCTTGCTCTCATTTGATTTTATTCTGTATTTCAATAAGAGCAAGAGCAGGCTACTAAAATTTTAAGCTTTACAAACGGCTTCATGATTCAAGTGACAATAAAGTAAAGGGATTCAGCCATTACAAATTGCCTTTAGTAATTCAGCCATGTGGTTTTATCCTTTGAATCTTGAAAGCTGCACTGTAATTGAGTGATGAAATATAAAATAACTGGTAACAATGATTCCAAAGTGATTCTAAACTGACTTTAAATCTCAGATGTTATGATATTTGACTTTTATATAGTATTAAGAAAACCACTTAAAAAATCTATTTCCTTCGAGTTTATTTGATATTTGAGGCATATCTTGGTTTAAAATTTAATCAGTAAAATCTGAGAATTTTCAGAATACACACCAATATGAATTACTTTTGGCATCTCTGGATAATTTATACTTTGATATAGTATAGATAGATCATGCTACAATATAATCAATGGTACAAATGAACCATTTGGTTATCCTTTTGAAGCCAGTGAGACTCTGCCTGAAGACAACAGCTTTGAATCCTGCTATAGGACTGAAATCTCAATCCCAACAAAATTTTGACACCAAGGTTTACTAGGATGATTTGACCTCCTTAGTTTCATGTAACTTTGGCTCCTGTGCAATATTTGCTGACCCTATTCCTGAAAGCTCTGCCAATTATGCATAAATGGAGATTATACTTGCCTATAATGAAAAAACCCCTAGGATAAATATACATGGAATTTTATAAAAATGATGCCAACTACTCCATAGCTTTTCTAATTTACACCAAGTCCCTCAACTCAGTCACAGACGGCTATCATGAAACACATTCCAAAATGCCATGATTTATGAAGGAGTTTAAAGAGTTTTTTAGGGGGAGTTATTTGCTAAGTATAATTTTAGCAATTATGAAACTGTTTGCTCTGCCTACAGTTTATAAAACTCAAGATATGCACTGCCCAAATGAATACAGGATGTAGTTTGTAGCATCTTGAAGATTTGCATTACAGTGCATTGTAGATTTAAAAGTATAACAGTGTACTTTTTATGCAAGTAGCTACTGCGATAGTTTAAATATTATTCATTAAGGAGCTGAAGTTGTGGCAGTAATCATTACATAAATCACTTAACACATTTCATTAAATATTTACATTTATAAGGGCTGAATCAAAAAGGGTTGTTTTTATTGTTTAAAAACTATGCATGCTCCCTTTTTCTTCGGCCTCTTTAACGTATAACATTCCGGTACTTTTATGATCCATACTTCAAAACCTGTAGAGCATGCAGTTATTGCTAAATACTGTATTAAAATATCCAGAAAAATCATTAGCAGAGTTAAAAAATGTATGTCGGGGTTGCCAATCCCACCTGACCATGCTGTGATGTGAGTCCCATGACTCAGCAGAGAGCAGCTGTGCATGTTTCTACTGTCTTGCAATGGATAGGGAAGGTACATAGCTGAAGAGCATGCAGGCCAGTCAAAATCCATTAAAAAGTGATTATATATATATATACATATATATGTATAACTTGCTTAGGTAACCTGTGTGAAAGTGGTGACACGTTGCTCTACCTGGTTAAAAAGCACCAGAGCTGCATTCTTGATTGCTCCAGCTTGGTTCTACCCCTGTGAGAAGTAAGAATGGTAGGTAGTGAAGTTCAAGACACAGGATCTCTAGTTTTCCTCTTTTTGGAATCTCTAATTCAAACATGGCTTTAACACAATTCAAACATAATTATTGACTGTTTTATGATCAGTTGGCAA